TGAGACAATGAATTTTGGTTTTTCATTTTTTTCCCCAGTAAGAGGTTTTTATTTAATTGAATTTTTGAACCAAAAAATCGCAATATATCGCCTTGCTTACAGTATCGCAATATATCGGGATATATGGTATCGTGACCCCTTTGTCATGATATGTATCGTATCGTCAAATTCTTGCCGATAAACAGCCCTACCATCCATCCATCCATCCATCCATCCATCCATCCATCCATCCATCCATCCATGACCCTCCTCATCTAGCTCCTCTCCATGTGGAGGAGCAGCAGCTCTACTCACCTGTCTGTAAAGGTGAGTCCAGCCACCCTGCGGAGAAAGGATCTCGTTCTCTCGGTCATTACCCAGAGTTCCTGATCATTCCCACGTAGCAGACAGATGTGGGCCAGACCTGGTTTCAAGCTGGCTGACTGCTGGCCAGAGAAGTGGTTTATCAACCAGACGTTGACCAGGTCTGGCACTGTTTAAATGATGGCATTCCACAACTGGCCCGGGGTTTSGTTTACGTGCTGTGAGTGTACAAAGGGACAAATACTGCTACGAGGTTAGGACCGTTAAACAGAGAGCTCAGCTCCCTCCTCACTACAACGGACCAGCACAGATGTAATATTGTGGAAGCTGCACCGGTCCATCTGTTGATCTTTCTCTCCATTGTCCAAAACCCTACAGCACCTCAGTCCCAGTCCACCCTCTGCTGACTGAGAACCACGGCCTCAGATTTTCTGGTGCTACTTTGGTGTTTCCATTCCGCACCTAAAAGATAAAATATGGCAACCAGACAGGCTGCTGGTTTTAGCTTTGTGTGTATAAAGAGAGACAAATAACATGTTTTTGTTTAAAATGAGTCTTTTCCATCTTAKAAGTGGTGCGAAAGAGATGTCTGGTCCAGTGCAATCTCAGTAAAAAACTGTGACTAAAATAGCTCAGTTTTAAGCTGCAGTCTTCTCTAACCCAGCTGCTGGCACAGATTTTCCTCTCAGTATAAAATAAAGGAGAGCAGCACATTCTCGTTAGTATGCGATGTGCCGACACCGCTGCCGGGTTCTGATAAAGGATCAGAGGATCAGCTCCTTTTACAGTCAGCTCAACGCTTGACCTGACTTTTTTAGGAGAGACACACACTCTGTTCCTCTCTGTCGCTCTCATACACACACACACACATCGGCCACTTTGTTCAGTCATGTTTGAAATTTAGTTCTGGACCCTCATCAGGGGCGTTCAGGGGTTTATTCAGAGTACGATTCCACCTCCAGAGTGTCTCTCAGCTTTGTGAAGCTAGTTTTTTTTTTGAAGGCTGGTTTTCACAGAAGTGATACCAATGAGGCCAACTGCAAGTCAAAGACATTTTAGCTTTTGTTTCCTAAACACTTTGTCACCCTTTTAGATGATGCTTTATACAATGGAGCGCTTCCTGTTTTGTTTATAACGTTAGACATTTCAGTGCATTCTTGTTTTTTAAACATTTTACAGWTGTAATCTGTACTTTTTGTTCAAATGTAGGCATCTTTATAGTATTTACAATCTAAAACCGATTTTTTATTACTGATCTTTTAACTCCTCGTGTCATTTTTATCATTATATTGTAGATTTTTATAGGACCAACACAGAAAAGAAGTAAAATTCTTTATTTTTTTATTTTTTTGCGTATTGCTCTCGTTTTTTTATATAATACAGATAATGAGATTGTGCACTCGGCTCTGAAAACGAACCGTCTGGGCTGTAATGGCCTCACAGTTCACAGAGCAGCTGGCTGACCTATTTTAAAGGAAACTGTTCAATATTGAACATTTAAAACCGGTGGAAACATTTGTTTGTGCCGCTCAGGATGGCAAGAAAATGTTGCAGCATTTTTATAAAAGAAATAAATTAACAAAGAAAAATAATAGCGTTGACTTTAACTGAAGCAGAAACATTAGTGGTGACATTTTGAAGGCAGCGAATGGTTTTCCGGTTATCTAACCTGTTTTTTTTTTTCCCCCACTTATGTATGATTTAAAAAATAAAATAAGCAATGAGCTGTAAAATAGCAGAAAGCAGTGGAAGGTTTGATCAACTGATCAAAATGTTCATCTTAAAATGGTCATGTTTACAGTAAATTCCTAGATTGAACTAAGTGAAACTTAGTTATAGATTAAATTTTCACAGCGATATTGACTGAACATCAGAGGTGAAAGACGTATTCACGTTTATTACTCAGGTAGAAGTATAGATACTAGGGTTTAAAAAGACTTCTGTAGAGGATGAAGTATCTACTACGTTTTACTCAAGTAAAACTGTAAAAGTACTGTTTTTAAAACTACCTAAAGTATGAAAGTGAAAGTAATATAAAGAAAAATAAACATTAAAGACAAAAGCTTAGGCTGCACCACAGGGGTCTATAGTTCACAACCCCACCTCCCAAAAAAGCATTTTTCTAAAGGCAATAATAACTATCATATTAAAATGTTAATGTTGAAAGTTTTTGTTGCACTGTCGTGCAGGTGTAATGTACTGCATACAAACCAATAGGGTGTCTGAATGATATATATTTACATACGTACCAAATATACTTTGAATATACTTATCATCCAAACAAAAATAAATCCACTCTACCCGTTACGCTCCATAAATCTGAATACGTTTTTATTTTTATTTATTTTTGTATGATGACAAGCCAAATTTAAATAAAAATTAACATCTTTAAAAATGTAATAAGTATAAGTAAAATGTCATCTGAAACAATTACTTCAGTGAAGTATACAGAACCAAAATATCTACTTAAGTAAAGTAACAAAGTATTCATACTTCATTACTTGATACCTCTGCTGAACATATTAAAGGGATCCCTGATTAGTTGTAAAATTAGACTTTATTTGATAAACACATATTTTAACAGTAAAATAAAGACTGTAAAAATACTGTAGGCCAGTGTTTCCCAAAGTTGGGGTCGGGACCCAAAGTGGGGTCCCGAAACATCAAGGTGGGGTCCTGAAAAGATTTTCTGAATTAATTACATTTTTGCCTTAGTTGTTACAAAGGAGTGAGGTTAGTATATTTAAAATGGATAAATGTAGTTTAAAAATATTGTTATATGCTCATGTTTAGTTGACCTGATACAAATGTTTATCATCCAAAAATAGCTGGGGGCACAGGTCTCTGCTACGTTTATTTTGTGGGTCAAAAGCTGAAAAGTTTGGGAACCAGTGCACTTTGGTTCCCAAAGTTGGGCTTGGGACCCAATTATGGATCATGAAGCACCTTGGATAATCTCCAGAAATCAATTTAAAGGATAATYAAATAATTGCTGATGTAATATTTTCCCTATAATTATTACAAAAACACAAAATAAGTAAAAATAAGTATTTATATTTGTGTACACGCT